ATCCTTTCCTGGTCGCGGGAGGGTCGCTTGGTGCTGGATGCTTTTGCTGACCTGCACCGAGAGGACGCCACTTTCCGTGTACCGCGTGTCATTTTGTCTTCTACTAGAGCCATATGGAAGCTACTGCCTTGGGCAGCCTCAATTCAACGGCAACAAGCTGGCTATTTTTAGGTGGTCATGACATAAGGGTCGCTCTTCTTGTGCGACCGGTTTTACGTCAAACGGCGCCCACAGTCACTACCTAGTGGGTGGACCACTGGTACTTACGTCAACGCTGTGCAAACTAATGCCTTCCCAGTGACAACACGAGTCTCACCAGGACGACACCCCATGGCCTGTTATGTCATCTCAACCTCTCTTACGAGAGTCGCGGTGTACGATGCCAGCAGATGAGCTGCGCCGGCTGTCTATATTAAAATGTCTCGGCTCGCAGTCGAAGTCGGGCTTCATCTCACGTCCTCTTCGTGCCTGGTGGCTCGGTGATCTGGAAATGGAACTCACGCAAAATGAAGACCCGTTCGGCCCTGCATCGCCACCGGACAATGTGAATAATGTGACTTCTCCGTCGACAAGTGGCAGGAGGCTCAGGCGTTCGGCACGTGTCTCGTCTCCGCTCCGTGAAGTTTGGGTAGGCATCGACTTTGGGACGAGCTCCATCAGGGCCGCCTTCACGGAAAGTGGCCGGCCACCTGAGCAGATTCCCATGGGCGCAACCGACGACGTAAGCGGAGGTCAGGTGACGTCTTACCGACTCCCAACTGCCGGCAAGGCCACGGATTTCGACAATGTAGCTTCCGGTGTGAAGCAGTCACTGGATGCCAACCTGTGCCGACACGGAGGGCAGGGTGAGCGATTCGTGGCACTTTGCAAGAAACACAAGGTGGACAAGGCGGCGGTTATTTGTGCGCTCTTCAAGGGAGCGCTGAACAACACCAGCAGATGCCTCCACTCAAAAGGTCGCCGCACCATGGCGAGGGTAAACATAACGGTGCCCGCCATGTGGACCGTGGACGAGCATGGCCAAGACATTCAAAACGAGATCGAGAGGATTGCAGTACGCGCCGGCTTCCCAGAAGACAAGATTTACTTTGATACGGAGCCAGGGAGCGCCATGGCATATGTCAAGATCAGGTCGCTCATTCATAATGCTGCCTCTGTCAAGAACACGCAAGCATCACTGCCTAGGTGGCAACTTGCCACTGGCAAGTGGCAAGTGGCAACAGGAAGTCGTAATACTGCTGCCTACGCAGCAGTATCCCAATAAGTATTTAATTTCGTATAATTCCACTCTTTTAGATAGGAAACCAAGAGTCGCTCGTTTTGTCCAAGCTGTCCCATACAATCGTGTGTGTGACACAGTCTATGCAAAGCTAGATTCTGCAACAACTTTTACTAAATGGGAGGTCCACCCGCGATGGCGACTGCGGGAAGTGGCATCTCAAGATCCATACCGGCGAATTCTTGATCCAAAAGTCGCTACAGCATTGCGTGGAAGACCAAAGAACACTGCACAGCCTGTTCCAACAAGCCTAGCAGTGGAAACAGAAAGCCAATCTGGTAGTCAACCAGGTGGGAAAAGGCGGAGACGACCACAATGCTGGCCCATTACATCAGCTAATGCTAAGAAAGCACAAAAGGCTGCTCGAGGAACCACCTCACAATCTAGTAGCCAAGCCCGCATATCAACCCAGCAACAAGCAGGTAGACTTTCAGCAGCTCTTATAGAGGGGAAGACCACAGGCGTGCGCTTTAGTGGTCGGAGGACGCAACGAAATATTCGCAGGGCAAGGAGTCGGTGGGAACTGGCCAAGAGTGATGAGGAAGATGCAGGTTGTATTGTCGTTCAGCAATAAAGGAGAAATTAGTTACTTAGCTTTTAGTTCATAACTATCTGGTCATCTTTATGAGCTTCCCCGGCAGTTGGTGACGACTACTATCAAGAGTGGATCCAATTTACAACCAAGGCTTGGGAGACAGATTGCGCCGGACGACCATCGACGATCGACCAACTTCAAGGTGATTTTAGGCTCTGTTAGGCAAAACTGCTACACCGCCTTTGCAAGGAAGTACCTGTGGGCCGAGAAAGCATTGAGCGAATCAGAGTTGGCAAAAGTCATGCCCGGATAAGAGCCATGCCCGGGTAGTAAAAGTGTCATGCCCGTGTATCAATTCCCCTGCCAATACATGAGAGGCCGACCGGAATACGCCGACAACAGCGCTTTGATCAGGAAACTGGACTCCACAGAGTTTCGAGTCGCACTCACCGGCTGGATCTCGCAGCAGTGCGAAAATGAGCTGCAGGCTGATGCGGTCCATGATGACAGTCTCTCCACACCTGACCGGGAAAGTGACCTTGACCAAGAGCCGGAAGTTTTTGCAAGAGGCATGGCCAGCGGACACATAAGCAAGCATCCGGACGCGTCGACACCTAGTCAAAACAAACCCAACGCGGCGACAGGCACGGCAGAAACGGCAGGGTCTCCTGGTAGGGGAGACACGCGACGTGATGAGACGGCGGCTGCGAGGACCACTCCACGGCAGCCACTGCCAGGGTCAAGGCCCGACGATGATTCACCATCTGAAGAAGACGCCTACGGGTGGCGAGGGAGACCGACATCAGCTCGCAAGAACAAAGCAGTCACTAAGTTCCCCAACACGCCCCCAATGTCAGGCCAGTCCCCTATTCAGGCCAAGGCCAAGACGAAGACCACGACTAACAAGACCAAGAAGGGGGCTGACTGGAGAGCGGGCTTTCGGGCAGGTAAATAATAATAATAAGAATAGGCGGCTGCATCTTTTCTATAACTACATAATCTTCTATACATAATCTATGTATTTAAGGAATTACAGGGGTTCTATACATACATCCCGTGTATCCTTGTCAAGTCACATCACATATCACATGTTATCACCCTGTCACCTTGCATATCACAAACAGAAATATGCAGGTATGGCAAGGTTTCGTAAATTTGCACAAGTGCCGGACCAGGGTCTCCAAACCTAGGGTACGAACAAACCATGAGTACAACAGCAAAGCGGGTGATTGTTTGGGGACGAAGAGGGACAAAAAAAAAAA